TCCGCTTTTATGAAGAGAGAAAGTCTAATTTCTAGTTCTTTATAAGGGAAACGTGAATAGAACATTTTAGGAAGTGAATTAAGTTTGCCAAATTTCGATCATACCATGCGATGTTGTGAGCACCCTCCAAAATGCGAGCTTCCGTGAAAAGAAGGCGTTTGCAAGAAATGTGTAATTGTTGGTATAGTGAATAATAAATCATTCTATGTGAAGTGCTGTGGGGTATGTAAAGGTCGGCCTTGTCCGACTATATTGTTCTTATTTGTTTCATTTTCAAGTCTTTTTGATCAAGAAATGTTATCGCAAAATTTATCGTTCAACTTAATGATAAGAATTATCTTAAGGAGTGTGTAAAAACGATTTTAATAATAAAACAAGTGAGAAAATCATATCCACGCTAAAGGTGAATCTTTGATATTCGCTACAGTATGTCAGTACATGTCCATTGCCAAATAATTCGTTAAATGTCGACGTAACAGCTGTTCGGTCTGAAAGACTTTTGCACTGATATTTTACACCTCCTAGACATTATTTCCGCCCTACTCCACACATAAATGTTCCTTATTTTTTGGTTGCTTGTAGTGTAGATGTATATATAAGGGAATTGTGTACTAAAATTTGTGGTGGTTCTCGTCAACGTTTTCGATCATTGTACTACGAGTTAGGAGGAGTTGCGGTGGCTTACGTCCAATTTCCAATTTGATCCTTTTTTGTCGTTTCTTCTCAATTTTCACGATAAGTGTTTCCATAAAAGACGAGTCATATACATAAGCGAACGAATGTGTTAACCACAGGCGTCTAAGGTTAAATCGTTACGACGTCTTGGTCTCATTGAATATATATTATAAAGTGCAGGAAGCAGTCTCTGACGAATTTTTTCTTTGTATCACAATTGAAAGAAGATATCTAATGTCAGTTCCTCCTCATGTTGCGTCCAACACAATTAGCTCTGAAAAAGTATAGTGAAGAGCGGGAACAACAATACAGATTAATTTTAATTTAATTTATAATTTTCTTCTGCAGAAATTGACAGTCATGCCATTCTCTGCATCAGTAACAACAACATGTGCAAACAGAGAGAAGCTACCTGATTCAGTTAAGGTTAATGCTCGACCTAATCCTTTGCTGTTTAATTACATTTTTAAAGACTACTACAGCTGCAATAGCAAAAACAATAAAATTCCGTAAACAAAGCTTGTGCGTTTATGGGCCAGACGATGTCCTTAGTGAAGTCAGCTGTAGTTGTTGCTCTTGTTTTTTTTTTTATGTATATATTTTTTTTTCCTTTTAATGACACATAATCAATCGAATTCGTAGCATTTACAATTGCTCGAAATTATGTTTTACATTGAGCGAGGTTAGACGGACAGACAAACAGGAAAAAAAAAAAACAACGAATAGATAGGTAGAGAGTCGGCCTTTGCAAGTTGACTCTTAGTCTAGGTACTACTTTGCCATATGCAAGTTGATTGCTTAACGTCATATACAACGTATATGAAACGTATGCCAAAGTGTTATTCTTACCATAACAGCTTAGCTTGTTGATGGTATTCGTGGTGGTGGTGGTGGTAGTGGTGCGTGTGTATGCGTTTGTTTAAAATCCATACTAACGTGTCCTGAGAACCGAAAAATATGCAACATAGCATATTTGCACGTTTAATGTGCACAATGTACACAACAATTGTACTCTGGATGACATGACTGACTGTTATATCTAAGGAACCGAATAGAGTTTATAAGTGAATGCGTGTTATTGTTGTTGTTCTTGTTTTTGTCTACTACTATGCACACTTATCTATCATATGCTGTATATTAAGTTTATTCTGATGATGCCATTGGTTTTAATTTTCTTCAACAACAACAGATTTCAGCATGTTATGGCATTTATTACAAACTTATGCAAATATATATATATATATATACTTACTGTTCAATTTAACTCAGCACATACAACAACAAACATGCATACATTCGAGTGGGTGATGAACCCTATTTGAAATGGTTTCGGAAAATCGATTAAAATTTATGTACATATATGTGCACACAAATACACGCATATGTATTCACACAATTTTACATACCATTTTGTTACTATGCTCATATACATATATATATACTGATATAAATATATATGTACACAAATACCTATATGTATGTATGTTTGTCAATATAAAACAGAATACCGCACATCCTACTTCGCATAAGAACACAACCAACAAATTTTGAATATAAATGTATAAAATATATATATATGTATGTGTATTCATATCTATACATAGACATGTCTTCGTATTGTATATATATGTGTAAGAACAATTTAAAAGACCACACACACACATTTCAGCACATTTGTGCAGGCATTTATCTATTCGCAATAAATGCTTTTTATGAGCATGTGTGCATTTATATATTTATATGTAGATACTTACATACACATGTATGTATATAAATATATCTACATACATACATATATATATCTACATATATATATCTACATATATATATATATACGTAGATACGTAGATATATATATATATATGTATGTAGATATATGCTCCAACAAAAACGCATAAACTTGCGTATATGTATGATATATAGATATACACGTGCGCAAACATAAAAATGAAGCAGCAGCAGGACTACAACAATAATCATTATTACATTACACTTTATATACATATATACACATTCATATATACATATATATATGTAAACATATATACATGCATACAGCTATATATATATATATATGTATATGTGCGTTTGTGATCATATTCACTGCCACTCGCACACTAATATTCATTCCTGCTGATGTTCATACAAAGATATATTGCGGTGTACATTACTGCTTCACAGGATTTGTTGAATTGTTTATAATGGCACGGGGATGGTTTGAATTTCACGTACGCAAGCATTCCATTGAAAACATTTCCCAACCACGGCGACGATGGTGTGACAGTGTGTGGTGTATACTATGCGTATGAATCTATGTATACACATGTATATATATATATATATATATATGTCTCTATGTCCTTTCAACAAATTAACATACAAAGCGAGAGTGTCAGTTAAATTATGTCTCTCTGATTATCATAATATTTTGTGTGTGCAACTTGCGTAATTACTGTAAATCTAAAATGAAATGAGTTTTAAATATATCTATAACATGTTTAGGCATGTTCATCTTAATTATTAGGATGCATTTAAATGCATTAAAATTCTAAACTATAATGCTTTTTATGACTGAATTTGAATGAAATTCAAATTATAACAAACGATAGAAGAGAGCTGAAGAGACCGCATGTATTACGTTAGGGATATGCAACTCGAAGGTATTGGACCCTCTCCAGAGATGAGTTGTTAGCGGTTTTCTTCCTTCTTTTGTACTCTTATTGAGAACGTGGTTTCTGAATATGAAAGAAACAAAACATATCCAATGTCATTTCCTGGAAAAGAAAGAAAGCTCCGACGTTTCTCGCGTGTTCGTATTATTCTAAAAAAAAAAAGGAAAAATTATCATAATAATAATAATAATCTGATCCTATTAAGGCTTATTCAGGTGATGTTGTAAATATTTTTTTCGATCATCTTGACTGCTCTTCTTCGAGGGTTCATTTATATTAATTATGTTGAATACTTTGAGACGTCCGTTAGAAAGTTTCAGCCACCCTACAAATTATATAGATCCTGAATCGGTGTAAGGGTATTCGATCCCATAAAATATATATATTCTTGAGCAGCGTTAAATTCGAAATCGATTTAAATATGTCCATCTGTCCATCTTTGTAATATCTGTGTTAAACGTTTTGCTGCTGATCGTAAAGATAATGATATCGACTTCAGATTTGAAAGTTGGCATTGAAAGTTCTTGTATTATACAGGTCACCAATGAAAATGGACCCAATCTGTTCATTGGTACGCTTACAGTGCAATGAAGACTAAAAACAGCACTCGTTTTTAGAGTTTAGATCGTCGCTCATGAAAGAGTAGCAGGCGCACTGCCACTTCCATCCACATATGTCTGTCCGCACTGGAAGCCGCATGCAATTACCGGTACTGTGTCAATAAAGAAAAGAAAAGAAAATAAAGAATTGAATTTATAGTGTAAGGTATCGAAGAGTCGGTTTTGCTCGTCTACAATGTTTTTACTTTTTCCATTAACGTCTTCAAAAATGTTGTGACAATATCAGATAAGGTATAAAGTATTATTAAGTAATTGTTTGTTCGATCATATCTTGCAAGTTGTTCAGATATTTTATAGCTTGCACTGTACACGATATCAAATTACGTAACTTATAAGTCAGATAGAAATTTCACAGCTTGCATAATAAATACCATCAGGTATAGTTAAATAACTGACTTTTTGATAACATCTTTAGCAGTCATCGTAGTCTGTTACAGAGGCACTGTGAACTTATGCTCTACAATTGGTATCCAAATTTGCTTTACAGGGCATTTAGAAATTTCGTGGCTTAAAAACAGAAAAGAAAATAATGTTGCGCAGAATAAGTAAAAATATTATAGTCGTCCACTAATATAGAATAACTTACATCTTTTCACTTAGTACAGTTACTTACAGTAATGAGTTTTCAAAATAAGGTTTTATATAAGAAGCGATGGAAGAAATGACCTCATTCCAGCCTTCGTTCTCGAGCTAAAACTTAAAAATTGCGACCGATAGATTGGAAATCAGAATTTAAGACAGACAGACAAGCTTAGATCGATTCACAAAGTGAGTCCGAATTGATAAGCTAAAAAGTTGATCTATCTTAAGTCGATTCAGATGTGAAATATATCCACACAAACATATTGTATGACAAACAGAGAGGCTTAATTAAAATCACCTTTTAATTGCTCGTTTGCAAACATTAGAAGTAAACTGACACTTTATATCGGGGGGACATAATCTCCATTTGTAACTAGATGAACAAATTTTTAAATAAAGAAATGCAAATTAAAATTATTATTCATTTTCTTAATTTTCTTTTTACTTTTAGACAAATACTTCCAGAGGTCAATCACCTTATCCGCCAACGCATGGCCAAAACTCAGGTTCCTATCCAAGTTCGCCCCAACAAGCGCAACAGCAGCAACAACAACAAAGTGGTGGTGGCAATAGTGGTAGCGGTGGAAGTAGCGCTGGCGGTCCACCGCCACCGCAATCTTCGAATCAAGGCACAACACCATCTCAATATTCACCCTATCCGCAACGGTATCCCACACCTCCTGGTCCAGCAACCGGACCAAATCATCGAACTGCCTATTCAACGCATCAGGTACATAAGATATTAAACAAGATTAGCGGCCTTCACATGTTCACTTAAATCTTATTTTACTTCCCATACACGAAATCTCACGTAAAAATAACTTCAAGCATTTAAAACAACAAAAATCAGTAAATTACGTAATGAAATTGAATGGAAATAATCTCTGGAATAGATTTGTGCTCACGCTCTCTCCTGTTCGATGTAAACTCACTTTCTTTTAAATTCAATTTACGTGAAAACATTCATATTACACTGTAATGAAAGATTTTTCAATTCGTTATGTTCGTATGTATAGATGTGTTCGAGGAAGAGGAGAAAAAAAGTGACTTTTTTTTATTTTTCCAGAAAAATATTTATTTGTACATCCAAATCTATTTTGTCGCCCTGAAAGCCATCTCTCTAGACGTAATTACACTTGCGCCAAAGTTTTTTCCAATCCTCGAAACACTTTTGCGCTTTTTGTTTTAGGCTTGAGCTGTTCTGGTGATGCGGTCTCTATCTCCTTAATTCTGGCATAACTAACGTCTTTCAAGGATGTTTTCAGTTTTAGGGACAGCGAAAAGCCGCAGGGAATCCAGTCCTGTGAATACGGTGACTAAGGCATGTTCTTGGCCAAATTATTTCAGCCATGATGGGTTGTTCTGGGCGTTTTTTCGTATTGCTTCGCGCAAGAACTCATGGTGCTCCAGGCATGTGAGCAAGATCTTCTCATTTGAACGATTGAGACGTGTTTTTCTTGAGCTTGGCTCTTCTGGCTCTTCGCTTCAATTGGGATAATTGGGCTTTGGTTTCAATTGTCATTACCATATACTCATGTTACTTCACCATTTATGACCCTTTCAAGAAAAATTTCTTTTAATTTAAAAATGACAACGTCAGAAGAATCTTCTCGGACATGCGTCTCCTGCTCATGCGAAAAAATTGCGTGACACAACATCAATTTTCTTCTCTGCCTCAATGCTTTTATCAGCTGCTGACGTGGTGCGGCGTCCAAGGCGGGCATTGTCGTTAACATCTTCTCGTCGTGCCGTGAAGAGTTTCTATCATTTGTAAAGGTTGCTCAAAATGGCCTCGACAAATGCCACAGTCAGCATTTTAAGAGAGTTGGATTACTTCTTAATTTTATTTTGCCCACGAAATTTAATAGAAGTTTGAAGAATCAAAGTCAAGCAAAAACGTTAATATTAAAAAGACAGATCTTTGGGTCAGAGATATTAACGACCTCCTTGATGTTGAACTAATGACGTCAGTTTAATTAAGTCTGCTTTTTAGTTGGCCGTACAAGCATTTGAACTTTCGATAGTTAATCTGTTTTTGTAGTTGCATATGCACTCATGTGCATAAAGAACTATGGGAATCGAACTAAACTGTTGTTCTCAGTAACTGTTTTCAAAATGTTTGTTTCATGTTTGTGTTTATGAGTTATTTTTATACATTATACTTTATATTCGGAACTAGAGTGCAATTATCTTGGAATTATCAGATGGGTCACTTGCCGAATCGTGCGAGTTATAGGTGTTCGAACCGTGGCCTACGTCATTTCATCTAACGCATTCTTTATTTATCTTCTTCATTTGTTTTTGTGATGAAATGCTAATAATTACAAGTTATATCCACTTGTTAAAGGAGCCCTTATATAACCGAAGGCCCACAACGTAAACTGTCGCAGTCTAAATTTAGTAAAACTAACTATTATTTGTTTATTTTTGGTATAAAGTCGTAAATGTTAGACTTTGCTGCCATACAAAGGATTACTTTTCATAAGGGTGTGAAGATAAATTCGAATTTAACTAGTAAAGACACATACCATTTCTATTAACATACCTCTGTTAACGACTTAACAGAGCTCAT